AGTAAACATGGAGGCAGGAAAAAAGTGAAACGTACAAGGATAATGAAAAGCTTCTAGCTAAAGCAATGTGCGACTTGCACGTCCAGAAAAATAACAAGCCAAAAAAAGCGCTACATTACGATTTTTAGATCCTTTTCAAATCAGTGCCATATCACGTAATGCAAATTCTAATTCCACGTGGTGGAAATCCAACTAGCACAAATTTGAAAATAAGCATTCATAGCTTTGAGCACCACTAGACTGAATTCGCCTAAAGCCTGTAGCTTTCTTGGAGATGTTAACAGTGACAAAGTGTGCCTCTTAAAGTGGAACTGCGCTTACGCACACTTTTTTTTTTTAACAGCAATACAGCAGCAAAAGGAAAAACATGCTGCTGCTCCGTTCATTTCATGAAGAAAGTATTCGGAGAAAACTGGATTTGAAACAAGAAAGGCACAGTACCGTCATAAGGCTGACCTAACACCACTTCGATAACAAAAAATGAAAGAAAAAAGCCTCCTCTTATGAGCCTTTAGGCACACAGGTTATCAAGCATGCATGCAAAAAATCAGAACACTGAAACTACGCTCCCAATCACAATTTACATGACATCAGAGAAGCATCCTGAAGTGACCTGATACCACTCTATCGCAAGCAAACTTCAGTGAATGAAGCTACTTGCGAAGCTGGAGTTACCTGGAACAGGCAGCAGGCGATCCGACTCGAGTCAACCAAATGCCAGACACCGCAATACCACCAGTCTACTATCAGAACAAACCAGTATGTTGCAAAAGAATACTTGTGATACTGGAAGTGGTAGCAGTAGATGACAGTAGATGCCAATTGAGCATTAATTCGTTAAGGCTGATTAAGCACGTCTATACAGAACTGCGAGTGAAGCCAACTGTCTGCCAATATTGTTGTAGAAAGCAGCCTGTTTTTCCAGAAAAGCAGCCATCATGTTTTTGAAATCGTTGCCACGTTCGTTACCTTGAAATGCCATCTCGGCCAGCATCACATAGCTAATCGAATCAATCTTCGCCTTTAAAATTTCCATATCCGCATTTGAAAGTCGCCCTTCTATCGCAAGCCTTTCGTTTTCATGCAGTTTAGATAATGCCGTCTGTAATCAAACTGATCCAGAATCCAGAAGTCTAGTAATGCTGATTATCATATGTTCCCAAAAATAATTACTGAGATTTTTGAGATATTCGATACCATGCAATTATCGAAAGGTTTGCCGTGACCATGCACAGATTTCAAACTGGTCAGTGGATTACCACTTTCAAACCCCGAAAAATTTCCTGCTTTCAAATCGAGAATATAATTTGACGCCCCCATTGTACGCCTCGTGACTAAGCTTTATCAGTGCTTCTATTACTGACCGATAGAAATCGGAACTGTTTGTTACTAAATGTCGCCAATTTCTGTAAAATCCGGGTTCCCGAAAAGAAACTTTTTTACGGAACAGAAAACGCATGTTTTTTTTTTTT